AGTCATGCGTGGAAGGGGAAGCACGCACAAAATCAGTGGAAACATAGGCCAACCGATAAGCATAAAGTTGTCTAGTTCTTTAAGCTATGTAAGCGTAATTTTTGGTTTGGGAACTTCCTGCTGCAGTTCGACAAACAGTGAATGAGTAACGAGTATGTGTAGGCCTAGTTTTAATGACGATGACCCAGTTTGCCTTTGGACTGTTACTGTTCAACGGGGCAAGCTAGAAATTATGATGCAAACTGAGCGAAGTTTAAACAATTTAGATATTTAAGTAGTTTTGTATGTGTGCAAAATATTTTAAAGTCCTTTTTGCTAGCATTTTATATTGTGTACTCTTGGTGATTTCAATACATAATCGAAAACATGTGCAATTTTAAGAACGACACTGAAATTGTATTTTCACGAATAAAAAGAAAAAATGTAATACGTGGTGTTTGTTTTGTTTGTCAAATTAACTGAACAGATTCGATATTTTAAGATGTTTAACTTGTTGAGGTCTAGTTATCTCGATATCTAAAAATTAGAAGAGTAAATCTTCTCCAATGTGGGCCAATCAGAACCTAATTTACCTCATTGACATATATCTATAAATATAAATTGAATTAAGATATGTTTAAAAATGAGAATGCCTAACTAAATAAAGTTGCCTGCTTTTAAATGTTATGTTTTTAATGTTAATAGTAAAATATCATAGGAAGCAAAGCAAAAATAAGAATCACGTAAGAATAAAACGTGAATAAGCAGTGTTCTAAAGGTGAAGCCTGAAATTATGCAAAGCTCTTAGTTCAGGAAACATGTACATACTATGTGATATTTTTTAAAGTAGTTGTAATAAAACTATTTAGGAAATGGTAAAGCATGTTACCTTAGCTGCTAACACTACTACTCACTACTAAACATTTTTAACTAAATTAGCCTCTGATTTTTTGATATCATGCAATTATTATGCAGCTTACAATCCAAAAATTTTTGCAAAGTAAAAATTAAGGAAAATAAACGAATTAAATGAACGAAATAAATTACTTTTGCTTTATTCATGCTTTAATGCTTCCGATTGTTTAAATTAGGTAGGTATTTACTTTTTAGGTATTACACAATCTGAATGTAAATTGATTTCAATTTTTCGTTCGGTTCTTGAACCCAATAAAACCCCAGAACTCTTCCGGGATACTTTACTGCCAGAGGAAACTTATTTAGATCGTTGATAAGAAGTTTGATAACAAAACAAAAAAGAAACACTTGGGAATCTTCCCAATCTAATGTTAGCATGTGTACAGATAGCTCGTTTTCATGGGCGTCAATAGGTAAGGCAGATTTCTCGAATTCATTATGGTTATTTGTCTACCTTTTTTATTCGCATTTTACAGTCTACTATGGAGAAATATGTATCTTTTGGGGAGTAAATATAATCATATTTAATTGATATTTCACATTTTACAGCTTAATATAGATATAAAATTTATATTTTTAGGAAGTAACTATAATCATATTTCAATCAATATTTCCAAGTTATTATTCAGCATCCCTGATGCATATATGCCTTGGAAAAGTCATATTACTTGTTAACAAAATATTTAACTATATATATTCATCGTTATTACATATTTATTTTGTAAGATTGAGTTTATTAATGAATCCGATTTTTCCCATAGTTCAGGTGAATAAAAGTATCGCGTCAGAGCAAACAAGAGATAAACTTAATTTGTGTTCTCGACGTGCACACGCGAGCTTATACATAGAACAATTTATACACACGCGTTTCTAACACATATCACCAGGTTGATAACACTCAAAGCAAATACCAGCTCTGTTGACCCACTGACAGGCGGTGTTCCAGCCCCGGAGCACCGCCTGCTCACTGCCAAGAGAATACCCATGACGTGGTCTAGCGTAGCCGGCCAACGGGTTGACCAGACTCAAGAGCTAGACCACAGCGAACTTGAGAGACACCAACTCGAAATTAATTACAGCTCTATCAACCCACTACGAGCATGTGTATTTCGAAATCTCTTTCATTAGTGTTTTGTTTTTATTAAAATTCGGATGACAGTGCAAACCCGACTGATACTAGACTACGGCTCATCGCACTGAGGAAGCTTCGAGCGAGCAAGCCATTAAGTTCGCACAGTGGTACTAAAATACAAATGTACAAAGATGCTAATTGTTGCATTTGAACACTTATCAAAATTGTTGTGAACAACTCGTATGAAATTAATGGTGATACCTGTAGAGATACTTAATTTGTAATCAATTGAAAAATTACTTTGGGTTTTATAAAAAGGTGATGCATAAATCAAAACAAACAGATTAATTAAATAACTACTTAATTCATATATTTATTATTATTTATTTTGTTAAATTTTTATAATCATTTCCAAATAAAAGTCTCAACCCACTGTTTAAACTATTCTACGCTCATTAAGTTTATTTTCACGATGACACAACAGCCATTTGAAGAGCACGAAATTGTCGTCGAAATAGTTTCCGAGGCACAAACAAATATAAAATGATAGGTTCGCCTCCGTCGTCGTCTCAGTCAGTTCCGAAAGGTGTGCGCGAAAGACTTGTTCAGACGGTAAAAGTTTAGAAAGAAGAACTCTTTGTTGATTACGTGGTTAAACAGATCCGAAATGGTAGTGGTAAAAAATGAGCAGAAGATTTCGGTGCCAGAATATCTGAGCACCGAGTTTTTCACTGAAACCCTGGAGGAGGGACTAAGGGAGTCGAAGGTGACTCTAAAGGAGATCAACTTCGAGTGGGGCAGCAACCCGGGTGACAACTACTGCTCGGCCATCTACCGAGTCCAGCTCACCTTCGCCAAGTGGGTCGATGGCAAGGAGTCGGCCAAGAATGAGCAGCTCTCTTTGATCGTTAAGACCATTCCGATAACGGAGGCCACGCAGTTCCTTGAAGACGTTAGTGTATTTATCAAGGAGAAGCAGACCTATACCGACATACTGCCTCGATTGGATATCCTAAGTCGAGGTGACAAGTTTGGAGCCAAGTGAGTGTGTGGGCTGAGTATAGGTTTCTGGTAATTTCCACAAACGAAATGATTAATGTGGCATGCTTGTTTCAGATATTATCATTCAGTGAAGGCACCTGTGCAGACAATCGTGTTCAGTGACCTCAAGGTGGAGGGATACAAGGTAGCCTCGCGTGAAGCTGGCTTGGACTGGAACCATGCCTCCCTCATTCTGCAGCAGCTTGGAAAGTTCCATGCCACCTCCATGGTTCTGGCCAAAAAGGATCCTGCCATCTTGAAGCAGTACACCCGCGGCATGCTGAGCGAAGACATTTTAATGAAGAGCGACACCTTTGAGGTCATGTTCGGCGGCTTCCTCAAGGGTCTCATCAAGAGTTCCGCCACCTGGCCGGGTTTCGAAAAAGTCAGCAAAAACTTACAACGCCTCATGGACAACTTCCGGTCTGTGTGTGTGGCTGCAGCGAAGCCAAAACCCGGGGATCGGTACGTTGTGCTTAACCATGGTGACATGTGGACCAATAACTTCATGTACGCCTACGACAACGCCGCCCAGCCGGATACGCCGACAAGGGCCATATTTGTGGACTTTCAGCTGAGCTTCTACGGCAGCCCCGCCTGCGATCTTAACTTTTTCCTGAACACCAGCCTGAAGTTGGAGCTGCTGCAGGAGCGGCGCGAGGAGCTTATCAAGGTTTACTATGCAGCCTTCAAGGATGCCCTAGAGTACGCCCGCTACGAGGACATTCCCACATACGAGGACCTGCAGTATGAGCTGCGGAGCCGCGAGACCTACGGACTGTTCGGCCTGTTTGCCTTCCTGCCAATGATCACTATGCCAAAGGAGCTGTCCCAGGATAATAGCATTGAGAATATGCAGGACGAGGCTTTTAAGCAGCGCAAAATGGACGCTGTCTTCTCGCAAAAGTCCCTCAACGACTACCAAAAGTGGGGCCTGAAGCGTGCCGAATCCCTTGGCGTCTTCAGCGACTATTAAAAAAATAGTTGGGTTACATTTGTAACTTTTGTGATATAAATGGGGCTGCGTTTCAACAACACCGACTTAAAGTTCTTGGAATTTAATTGATGCAACCAAATAGTTTTGTGCGAAGCGAAAAACTGTTAAGAGTTCGGAATTATCAAGCTTAAGGAGTTGATTAAATAACTGGATCATATATATTTATTAATAAATCAATAAAATAATATGTCTAGACGATCTGGGAAGATACCTCTCGCATTTGAAAGACAATTTTGCAAATTAAGAAGTAATTCCGATTCAATATTTGATGGGTAACTTAGATAACTACGGCTGCGGATGAGATCACACAACTCTTATGCTTATTATTGAATAGTAGTTACATTTTTACAGTTCAGTCCAAAATCAAAGATATCCAAGAATGTATGGAAATCAGATTGCAGTATAAACCAGGCTTGTAGGCCAACTTCAGGGTGTTTAAAAGTCAACAGCAGGCCGGATCAAAAAATAGGAGATACGGACCAGCTAATTTCTCACAGTAAATGAACGACAGGATTGGGCAACTGTTGCCAGGATTGGTCGCGAAAGGGAAGGGAACGCCATTGCAGCAAAACGCAATAAACGGAGAGCATATTGGTCAGCCAAATTTTTAAGATGGAAAGAATATCAAGTGATCAAAACATGACGCAGAGATGCATATATTTATCTTATACTTAAAGTTCACCTATTTAAATTATGAAATTTTAAAATGCTACTGTAAAATCGCTTTAAAATTTTGGGAAGAATACAGAAATATGAAATTATATTAAATTGATAGTACATACTCTTAAATGTCTCCAACTCTATTTAGACTTCAGCTGGGTTCATCAAACGCTAACACCGCTAATCCATCGCATGCATTTTCATTGAATCAATTGAGTAAGGTCCGGTCCAAGCTGCGCCGCCCCAGATGACCCAGCCCATTAAGATCAATTATAAATCAAATGCAGCATCGGCAACCCTCTCCGAGATTTTGCATATAAAGCAGTTGGACTCACTGGCAGCCTCAAGTCAAATCGCCATGTCGGACGCTGTGGAGGAGCCTCCACTCTATCTAACGCATCAGTTCTTCAGGCGGACACTGGAGCATGGACTACAGCAGATGGATCTGCACGTCCTTGAGGTGCAGCTGACCAATCTGACGCGAGGGGGAGAGAACTACTGTAGCAACATCTACCGCGCTCACATTAAATACCGCAACGCAGAAGGCAGCGTCCTGGAGACATCGTTAATCGTCAAGTCAATGCCGGAGGAGAAGCAGGCGATCCTGTCCCGCCTGCACATTTACAACAAGGAGAGCATCTTCTATATGCACATCAAGCCGAAGCTGGAGACGCTCATGTGGCAGGCTCACAATGCCTCCAAGCCGTGGTCGCTGGGTGCCAAGTGAGTTTCCAGATAATTCTTGCCATTTTTGCCAAGCTGAATTGTACCCATCCGCAGGCACTACTATTCCACCACTCAGCCGGAGCAAACCATTATCGTTGAGGATCTGTGCTCCGAGGGCTATCAACTGAAGTGTCGTCAACTGGGTCTGGACTTGGACCATGCGTCTCTGGTGATGCAAAAGCTGGCCCAATATCATGCCCTAAGCATGATTATGGCCGAATGGGAGCCAGAGACAATCGTGGACCGATATCCCTTCGGTCTGCTGCACATGGACGCCATTAAGTCGAAGCCCTTCAAGCTGCTCTTTGGCACTCAGCTTCTGAAACTTGCCGCCCTTGTGGGGGACTGTGAGGGATTCGGCTCTATCACCACGAAGCTCTACCGCTACCACGAACACTTCACGGAACGCATTCTCAAGGCTGTATATCCGCTGCGAGGACATCACAATGTGCTAAACCATGGCGATCTATGGATAAATAACATATTTTTCAACTACGATCCGCAGTACAAGGTGCAGGATGTGAAAATTGTATGTGTAGTGTGATTGGGAATATTTAATCTCATATCTAATAGCTTTTTAGATTGACTTTCAGTTGTGCTTCTATGGCAGCCTGGGTTTCGACATCAATTACTTTCTGAACACCAGCTTGGAGCTGGAGGTGCTTCGTTGTCATCGGCAGACGCTCATCGACATCTACTACAAGGCACTGATTGAATGCCTCCAGCATCTGCCGTGGACCAAGCCCATGCCCAGCTACGACGGTGTTATGGATGAGATCCGGGAACGGGAGGACTACGGATTCTTTGTGGCCTTTGGCTTCTTTCCACTTATGAGCATGATCGGAGTCGACTCGGAGGACAACTCGCTGAAGAACTTCCACGACGAAACCTTCGCGCGACAGAAAGTTCAACTTATGTTCGAGGGCAACGCTCGTACCCTGGAGAGCTTGAAATGCACGCTGAAGCGTCTAGATGAGATGAAATTGTTTGACTGAACTCTGAACAGCATAATTCTTATAATCATTTAAATTAATTCAATATTTCATTAAACAATTCATATTTGTGGAACAAAATGTTTAGAACGGTGTAGAAAACTACTTGTTTGTAGGCCATGAGTTAAATAAATGAAATTCGAATAATCTTTACATTAAGCATTTACCCATTTTCTGTTACATATATGTATAAAAAATCTGAAATTAATTGTAATAAAATATACAAATGCTTGGCGCCTAGGGATATATATTTCAATCTTAACTACCTTTCCTATTTTTGAGATAATAACGCATTTCGACACACTTTGCGTGCTGCTAATTTACACAAACAAATTATATTTAATAAAGACATGCAACTACTTTGAAGTCCTCAAAATAAACTTAAATTGCTGAGAATATTTCACTCACTTATTTGCATATTAACCCACTTAATTATTAACACAACACACATTTTTACGCCCCATCCTTCAAAATGGAACGTGATAATTATCTTAAATAACAATCATTTTATTGAGAATATAAAATATTCTCTCGGTGTCTAGGTTCAAAATCCCATCGTCATGTTATTGAATTATACAAGTCATCAAACGGAAATCATAGAATAGAATACGTTTTTAATTATATTACAATTTATAAATGAAACACAACAAATTATTCTTATATCATTCTTGCCGTAAAATTACATAAATCATTTGTTAGTTACCATCGGGTGTTAAGTGAATTGAGAGATTGAGATTTATAAAGTAATTAGTTAAGTGTAACACAAAGCAAAAAGTAATAAAACAATTTTTATATATGCATGATGTTACTGGAAAATGTATAATATTTTCAGTTATCAATCAGTAGGTCGTTGATTCTGTTTTAATTAATTCAATAAGCGCAATAAATATTTAATAGGTATAACATCGTCCCCACTGGAAAGTCGCGAACATCAGAGATGAGAAACTTTTATGCCAACGTTATAAATGAGTTATCCTTTTGACAGTGATATATTTTATCAAATAATTGCTTTTAATAGTAAATTAAAACGGCACTCTAATTGTGTTTGTTTAGTAAGAAAGGTCTAACTAGCACTTGAACGTTAAGCTTTGTTATCAACTAACTAAATCGATATTATGCATATATTTTGTACGGACAAACACTTGATAAGATAATTGACTGCCAATCATCGCGAGTGGGATCTGGCCAGAGAAAGATGAGAACAAATTGTTATTAGCAAAGTTGAATTCAGGAAATTGAATTACTAGTGAAACACGCATGCGAAAGGTCGACATCTCCGGGCGTTGCGTGTTTTGAGAATACCGAAAAGTTAGAGAACTTGTTGTCGCCTATTAAGAGAATTCTAACTGAGATGAAGTATATATTATAGCCATGTGTGACATATATGTGCATATGTAACTAATTCCGACGCTGGAATCAACCGGGCCAGCACTATAATTTGCCGAGTCGTATATAAATTGAGCATCGTTTGCTGGCTACTTCTCAAACGATCGCAAAATGTGTAGTATTGTCTGCGATGCGGAGGTGACCGCTCTGCCCAGTTACCTGGACGTGGTCTTCTTCGAGGAAGTGCTGGAGACCGCCCTGCGGACAGCGAAGGTCCATCCGCTGGCCATTCACATACGAATGGGCAGCAGCACGGGAGAGAACTACTGCAGCCAGATTTTCCGGGTGAAGATATCGTTCAGACATCCCGGCCAAGCGGAGCAACACCTTATGTTCATCGTAAAGCACATTCCTCGCCTGGATTCGGTGGAATTTATTGAGGACCTACAGGTCTACCTGAAAGAGAAGATTACGTATCATGAGGTGCTGCCCCGGCTGGAGCTGCTGATGCAGTGCAAGCGGCGCTTTGGACCCAAGTAAGTCATAATTAATATAATAAATAATATATAAGAAATTAATATTAAATATATAATAATAAAATATAAATAAAATATAAATAATAAATATATATAATAATAATTAATATATTAAATATAATGCTTATCATTTCAGACTCTATCACTGCATCAAACTGCCGGAGAGCAGCTTGGTGTTCGAGGATCTGGGTCAGTTGGGCTATACAATGGCCTCTCGTGAGCTGGGCTTGGATGAGGACCATTGTCGTCTGGTCATGGAGCGCCTGGGTGAGTTCCATGCCACCTCCATGGCCCTGGCCGTACTGGTAAGTTTAAATAAAGAATACATGCTAACCTTACTAAAACGGACTTCGGATAGGATCCCCATATTTTCGAGGCCTATGGTGATGGAATGCTCTCACCGGAGGGTCTAGCAAAGGACGATGGTCTGTTGATGCGCTTTTTCTCGGGCAATGGCCAGGAACTCCACACCCTAGTGAGCTCTTGGCCCGGCTACGAACGCATCGCTGACAAAATCGGAAAGTATATGCAAGACCAGCGAGCCAATTTAGTCCGCAGTCAGGCCCCGCAGGAGAAGGAGATCAAGGTTCTTAACCATGGCGACCTTTGGGTTAATAACTTCCTCTTTAAGTACGATTCGGCGAAACGGCCGCAGGACATAATCTCATCGACTTCCAGCTGAGCGTGTGGGGCAGCCCGGGCATCGACCTCAACTATTTCTTCTATACCAGCCTCAACCTCGAGGTGCTTCGCCACCGGCGGCCCCAGCTCCTACGTACGTACCATGCCCGCCTGTCCGACACGCTGCTAAGCCTCGACCTAGGTGTACCTGTGCCCAGCTACGAACAGATCCTGGAGGAGGTGAATCGCCGCGAGGCCTACGGCTTCTTCGCCAGCTACGGCATCTTCCCTACTGTTAGCCAGGACAAGGCCCAGACGGCCGACAACAACCTGGAGAACTTCAAGGATGCGGACTTTGCCAAGCAAAAGGTGCGTCAAATGTTTGGGTCGCGACGACTGGCGGATACCCTTCGTTACACGCTGCCACACTTTGAACGCGCCGGCGTACTGGGTTGACTTACTAATAGGACGGTTTACTTGTTTTAGTCAAAAGGATTATATTGTTGTAGCCATAAAGACGAGTTTATTGTTATTCACAGTTGGCAATTCACTTGGGTTAGATTGAAATACGAAGGTACATTGCCTGCGATAATTAATAAGGATAAAATGTCCTAATTGTATCAGGCATAGCACTCCGCCTTTTCGTTTTATTTGAAGAAGGATACTGAGAACATAGATTTGAAGGAGGATTTTAAGAAGCTTGATTTGAAATTAAAAGTAATTATTAAGCAAGGCTTGGGTATTTGATACTTCTAGAAAATCTTCCAATTTCCAATCAAAAAGATGAGCTTTTTTGTTGGCGGAGCTTTTGCTTACAGTAAAAATTTCCATTTCCCATTACAATTCTGTGTTCATTGGGAAATTTATACCATTCTGTTTACACTTTTCCCAACTTTTTCCGGTATTTTACCAGTGTCCTTTCTTCGGAGTAGGTTTAAGTATTGGGTATTAATCAGGTTTAGTTTACATAAATATATGTATAAATATATTCCATATTCTTATATAAGGAAATTAATTACTAATAGTTCAATAATTTTTTCATATTTTTGAGGCGAATGCATTTTTAAATATTCCTTAGTACTTAAGTAAACTTCTATCAATGTTTGAATTAATGCATTAATGGTATTTTTTTGGTTATTGACTTTCTACTCCTTTTTGTTAAGTTAAGTTTTTTGTCACATTTTCACAATTCCAACGATGTAACCCTTATAAAATTAAAAAACAAATTTTGATCAATAATATATTTGGAATATACGGCCTTAAATGACTTCTTCGCTCCATTGCAAGCTTCTGACTGATATAATAATATAACAAGGGTATACAAATGTAACTTCAACTTAAATTATCAAAATGGTTCATCATTCGGAAATACGTATACGTATGCATGCGTGAAAAATTTCAATCCCATCTCCTCATTTGAGTCTTTAAGTTCCAGAGGCTTATACAGATGAATGTGAACGAATCTGGAAGGGAGTATACCCGCACTGCGCCTGGTATGAGCATTAACATGCGAGTTAATTAAGCCGTCATGAACTGTAAACTGGAAAACACGTGACATGCGGAGCTAACTGCATACAGAGAATGTTTAGCCGCAGGCAACTCAAAGGCGAAGAGCCAAACTCGGTTGGCCTTCCACGAAACATTGCGTTTTGTTTGTGGCTCTAGGATCCTGACCCCCGACCCGCGAACGCTGAATTTGTAGCCAAAAAACAACTGTTGATGCGTATCGTAGAGCTTGGGATCAAATGAAGAAAAAATATCCATTTGTAGTCCAGTCACTTTAATTTTTAGTGCTAAAAGAAAGTATTTAAAAGTATGTTTATTTTAGGATATTATTATATATGAGGTGCTACAGAAATCACCATTTGAAATCCTTTTAACATGTTTATAATAATGTTTCAGAAGAATGTTCAGAATGTTTCAATAGACCCAGTTTTCACTTAACTGAACCTAGTAGTTTTTGATGCTGATCAAAAATCCACATTCGCACTTGTATGTATATCCTTTGTGGTGTCAAATACCTGTTTGTTAATATGTAAGAGTACTCTGAAATGGGCACATGCTTTTAAGCCCAATCTGGATTACCTTTTCTCCCCTCTCAACTCAATGGCTTTTGTGGGCGTTATTTTTTATACATATGTACATATATATGTGGAATAAATGTGGCGTTACGTTTCGTTAAACGAACTGCATTAATAAACAACGGCGCTTAAATGCGCGATTGGACACAAATTAGTGACCAGGCCAGACGAGCCAAACTGCCCCCGGAAATGAAGCCATGGATTCTCCTCTCCTCCCGCCATTAGGCGACGCTGATGTATGCGATTTAATCGTACGTTCAGACATAAACAACCAGAATACAGGACAGCCGAATTCCATGGCAACCCCGTTCCCAGACGAGACAAAAGGATAATGGAGTCGCTCGAACACACACACACATGTGATCCAAAAAGTAGACACAACACTGACAGACGACGCACCGAATAAATGACCATAATCAAACACTTTACGCCTGAAAGCATGCAGCACTGTTTTCCCTATTTCCGATGCTCCCGACCACCACCTTCCGCCCGTTGAGCCGACAAAGAAGACTTTGTGAGAGCATCCGATTTTCCTAAGCTGAGTAACGCTGGCTTCCTATCTGTGCATCGACGGACATCCACTCCCAGTAGACGACG